AAATCTTGTGAAGCTACTAACCTGATAAGTAACGAACAGAAGAACAACCTAATGGAAGCTGTTTATTCTTAGGGGGCACTTTAAGGATAAAGATGTGGCCAAGGTTTGTATCTTAGGCCACTTTTCTTATTCCCGCTGCTTTGTCCGCGTCCTTCTTTTGCTGTTCTTCTTCGTAATTGAGGACTGTTTCTGGCCACCATTTCAGATCCTGGCTAAGATCGCCCGTTGCCAGTTCGTAGGCGCGGTTCTGCTCCTTCACATTGACGTGGCCAACGACATAATTGCCATTATCCGCTTGGTCTTTTGTCTGGAAATGGACGGTAGCGTGAAGAGGCTCCTCCCCACTCGTATGTGGAAGAGTCCGGATCAGAAAGTTGATCTGGTACTCGTAGCCGGGAAACTGGTCAATCTCGTTCCGGATACGGTCCGCTATCTCCTCGCAGAGCTGGAAAATGGCATCAAACTTCCAGCTCGTCGATGTGGGCTCCTCCACCGAAGCAATATAGATGTATATATGTTGTCGTCTCCCTGGGAAACGGTCTTCTGGATCAGAACATTGATCTGATCCGAGAAGTGTGGAAACCGTTCGGTTCGTTGCGGAGCTGTTCACTAGCCCGTTCGTATATAGATGTATATATGTATATATTGTCGTCTTTCTAAGAGACAGACTCCCGGTACACTCAAGAAATATCAGTATATGTAACAATGATATCCATTAGAGACGGCCTGAAGTGTTTGGTTGTGGTTGCACACTCTGGTGTGGTAGGCTTGTAAGTCGTAGTAGATAAATGGGAATGGGGGTTTAAATATTGGCCCCTTCGCATTGTTGCTGAATGTTCAGCCCCGGGTGAAGAACTCTGAGTAGTGAACAAAGGGCTGTAAGCAATGAATGAAAGACGCTCGGTGCCGAGTGACTGTTCAGGATGTCGATGGGATTGTTCAGGATGTCGATGGGATTGTTCAGGGTGTCGATGGGACTGTTCAGGATGTCGATGGGATTGTTCAGGGTGTCGATGGGATTGTTCAGGGTGTACGAGGGTTTTCCTTACTGAATCACGCCCCGCCTGGCTGGATGAAGACTCCGAGTGCAATCCGTAATTGTAGCGTTCATGAACAAACCATCCGTAATGAGTAACAATATCGGAATAAATAT